ATAGACAGACAGATAAGAAGAAGGAAGGAAGGAGAAGAAAAGGAAGGATGGATAGATGGATGGATAGGCAGGAAGGAGGGAGAAGGAAAGGATGGATAGGAGAAAGAAAGAAGAGGGAGGAAAGGATGGAGATAGATAGATAGATAGAGAAGGAAAGGATGGATAGGAAGAAGGAAAGAAGGCAAAGGATGGATAGGAGGGAGGGAGGGAGGGAGGAGGAAAGCATAGATGGATAGGGAAGGGAAGAATGAACAGACAGAACAAAAGAAGGAAGGAATGAAGGAAAGGGGAAGGAAAGAATGGATAGATAGAAAGGTAGGAGGAAGGAAGGGGGAAAGGATGAATGGACAGATAGATACAAGAGGAAGGAAGAGCGGGAGGAGAAAGGGAAGGAAAAAAGAGAGAGAAACAAGCTTTATTATCTGGGAAATGTCCCTTGAGAGTCCCCCTTGCTATGAACGCCTTTGAAAAAACTGCCGAGGTTGCCAGAGGCCACCCAGTCCAGCCCATGCAGGGGTCAAAGGGCTCTACCTGTTGGGCGAGGGTCCGAACGAGGGGCTCCACCTGCACTGAAGGAATGGGGATGCTGTTCACCAGGGCGGCCCCCAGGATCTGGCTCAAAATCTGCAGCAAAAACCGAGGGAAGGTAGAAAAGGGTCCGGAGCAGAATAACAACAACAACAACTTGCCTCCCACCTGAGTAATAAGGAAAGGCTCCAGGCCGCTCTGGTACTGAGCCGCAAAGAGGAGGATGTCCTCATGGATCTGGACCTGGACTTCCTTCCGAGGAAGAAGGAGGCTAAGCACCGGGCGCAAGGCCTGCAGGGCAGACAGCTTGACCTGAGAAAAGGAAGGAAGGAAGGGACAGAGAGAGAGAGAAAGGATGGACGGATGGATTGATGGATGGAAGGAGGGAGGAGAGAGAGGAAGTGATAGAGAAAGAAAGGATGGATAGATAGATAGATGGAAGGAAGGAGAGAGAGAGAAGTAAAGGATGAATAGGAGGGAGGGAAGAGAAAAGAAAAAGAATGATAGATAAGACGGAGGGAGGGAGGATGAAAAGAAGGAAAGGAGGAAGAGGGAAAGGGGAGGGAGAGGGGAAGAGAGGCAGAAGGAAAAGATGGGTATGAGGGAGGGAGGAGAGAGAATGGAAGGAAGGAAAGAAGGAAGGAGGAGAGAAGTAAAGGATGGATGGATGGATAGATAGATAGATAGAAGGAAGGAGGGAAGGAAGGAGGAGAGAGAGGAAATGAGGGAGATAGATAGATAGATAGATAGATAGATAGATAGATAGATAGATAGATGGGATAG